TTTTTTTTTTTTTTTTTTTTTTGTAGGTTAAGAAAACTGCAGGAGTTGTCATGAAATTCTATTGGAAAGAATATAAAAATTATCTTGCTTTTAAATTGATACCAAAGTCTGTCTAGAAACAACCCAACCACTGCAAATTTGGTTTCTGCAAGTTAATTTAATTCAAAAAAATACTTGTACTCCCGTGTTTTAAGTGGTCTTAATTGTTCACCATAATAAAAAGTAGTTGGAGGAGAAAATACAATATTTGAACAACAGTCTAAAATTTAATAGCACTGTTTAGGTCTGTTTGTGGCAGGCGGAATCCAAAATGGCTAATTTCCTAATCCCGATGCTCTGTGTACTACCGGGAGACAATAATGAAATTTCAATTAAAACCTCAGTCTAAGAAATCAAATGACCAAGACTCGCTAATCTAAATATCTACATTATTCTGCATCAACCTGCTATCGTGGATCCTATTCACATCTTTCGGAACAACATGATCTGTCTATAAATTCCATCACTAAAAGCAACTTTATTTATAACCATCAAGTCCCCTTGGCTCTGAAAATAAATTCTACCCATACCCCATTGCACTTGTCACCAAGGAATCAACTAAGTACGTTCTGATTCCCTCTTACCTCCTCCTCTCCATCTCCTGGGATGAACAACCAGACTGACCTCTCCTAACGACACCAAACTGGCCCATCCGTGCTTTCTTCTTATACAAGCTCTCTTACAGTATCATTTTAAAAACATTTACTGACTGATTGCATAATAGGTGAACAAGATACTGTTCTCCCCTTCCTTTAAAAAGAAAATCAATATTTTACATCAATTTATAGCTAAAGTATCTGAATAAAGTTTTTGTTACCTTACATAATAAGAACAGTTCTGTAGCAATTCACATTATTAGGCTGGTAACCAAGTATTTATTCATTCTACCTGTTGTTGACTTAAAATTCCCTGAAACTGAAGTTTGTAACCCAAGAATTGTAAGGAAAACGGATGCACTGACTGGCTCTGTCCCAGCCCTGCCCAGGGCCATGATCAGAACCTTGGGAACTTTAACCTGTGTTCGGCAACTTCACCCTGTGTTCGGCAACTTCGTGTGTTCTTCTAAGCAAAAGTGCCCGGTTCTCCTTTCAGGAGCTGTGGTGGTGGAATCATCTGTTAAAGAGCTCCAGCTCATCCCCTCAAATTCAAGGACACCTTCTCAATCAGTGATGTCTGAACCTATCAAGCTCTTTCTTTTGGGGTGGGGTACTAGAAACACTATCCTGGAGGGTCTCTGAAGCTCTCCATGAGATGGCAGGCGTAAATCCCCAGAAAGGAGGTGTGACTAGCAGACACCACACATGCCTCCCGCCATCTCCGCATGGGCAGGTGTGCACAGTCACCAGCGCCCCTCCCTGGGTGCCTGCTCCCCATGCCAACGGCATCCACATAAACATGTGTAGAGGCAGGAAGGGGTGTGTAGAGACACACACGGTATGGGGAGTGCTCCAAGCGGAAATTGACACTTAGTCCCATGACAGTATCCAAAGAAGAGGTTGCGGGCAATGCACCGAGTGCCTTGGAAACATTTAAGTATATCAGTGACTTTGTGAACGACAGAGTCTGCTGCATCCCAACTATTTCACGTTACAAAGGCAATTTTTAAAAACAGGAGACTGGGCAGGACAACCAACCTAACTGTATACTGTTTAACATGAAAACAAAAAGGTTAAAAAAAAAATTCAATCTCTCTGGAAATCTTGGAAAATTTTCCCCCATAGTGATTTCTGTCTACCTCCCCACCCACCAGAATTTGGCTTTCCATTATCAAAATTGTTTGCATTTGCATTTTCTTCACACACACACACAAAAAAAATCACACAATTGCTTTTGTACCATGAAAAGTAAGCCTCTAAACTGGTGTATACTTGCTCTCTGGCCATCAATGGCTTTAAACCAGTTTGTACATTAGAAACTTCTGACGGCTTCAGATCCCAAATTACTTGCAAAAGGCTGGGCAAAAACACAGGCTCTTTTGTCATGGTGCCTCTCACTGACGTCCATATTCCATTCCCGGCACCTGCTATAAAAACCTAGCTGCAGACCCCCTTTCTCCAGAGGGCTGCTTGGGGTGCAGCTCTGCTCGCCCCTGGGAGGTGTCTCCAGTTAAGGTGCCTGACTGCTGGAGAGGGACCTACAGACGACAGGGTGAGGAAAGAACTAGGCAGGGAGAGGAGGGAGGGAGAAAAGTCTACAGTCACGCTCTTGCCAAGACACTCTCGCCAGCCAACCTCCCTCCAAGAGTGGCTCCGTGAAATACTGCAGGTTCAACAACGAGACAGGAACTTCTCACAGATTGTAGCAAGTAGTCCAGACCACTCTAACACTGATAAAAGCAATTCGGTGGCTGGACTTGATCCAGTGTCCTTTACGAGTACTCACTGCTACAGACAAAGCTTCAGGGACATCCTCGTTAAAACAATAGCCCGGCAGATTTCTACCCTCGAGGCCCACAGGAGGTTGGGAAAACAGACTCAAAGGCATCGTGGAGTCCAGAGTGCTGAGTGGAGGTGTAACTTGTCGTCAAAAGTGTCCAGATTATTCCTCCCCGTGCTATTTTCAGCTGTCAGGGACGTGCCTTTGGCTTTCAAAAAAGAGGGGGTGGGGAGACAACGAAAGGTAAGTAAGCGGCTGTACACGGCCCCGCCCTGATTTCTAAACAAGGTATTCCCGAGGCCACTGCGTCTCCAACCGACTGGGCAATGCCAGGAGCAGGCAGCTCTAGAATTTGGCTTTAGCTTTCAAAAGCCTTCTGTGCCCTGGGGCACAATCCTTCTAAAAGACTGGCTTTTAGAAAACTGTCCAGAAGAGAAGCAGCCTGGGTTTCTAGCTCAGAGAAAAGGCTCACATGTTTGCCTTTTGGTTCTATTTACTGATGCTGTCTCCTTGAAGGTATTCCAGGTTGTCAACTGAGACGTGAACAAGGTCAAATGGGCCACCACACAGGTGTGAAAACTCACACCCAAGGCCATGCTGAGGCGGGGAGAGGGGACTCTGGCCTTCACAGTCCCACAGTGAGCTATTTTTAGGTCCTTGGTGGCAGAGCCCAAGAATCAGCTCAGGGGCTGGGCTCACACCCAGCCCCATCTCCTAGGCTCCCCAGCAGGTCCCACTGATTCCGTTGCTGAGGGGATTCCAACCAGTTCAGTTATCTCTGCTTTAAAATCAGCTCCGTGGAGAACAGCGAGCTCAGGTCCCTACTGGTCTAAGAAGCAGCCTTCTTTACAGCATTTGGAGTCATGGGTCCCTTTGATAGTCTGAAGAAAGCTACAGGATCCCTCTTGCAGATAAACGATCACAGACGTAAAAATACGCAAGGTTCATCCATCCTCTGATCTGTAGCCATGGGCCCCCCTAGAATATGTGCAGCGTAATAGAAAGTATGCCACTGCAGAGGAAATCTTTCTCAAATACAAACTTAACATGAAACTGCTTTTAAGGAAAAGAACCCAAACTTAGGCTGTTTGTCCTAGTGGGACACAGTCCCCCGCCCCCCGCCCCCCGCCCCAGACGGTGGAAATCAGAGGTGGCAAACTGGCAGCTCATGCACCAAACTTAGCTGGCAAACGTGTGGGCTTCACCAGATCAAAACAAAAGGAAAAACTAGAGAGCTTTAGAAAATGGTCAAATTTCTCACGCAAGTCCAGATCAGCAGTTTCTCTTTGAAATTGGTAACAAGCTTCTGGGAGCAGCTGCTCTCTGTAGACGAGACTCCCACTCCCCCATTCCCCACAGACACTGTCACTCTCTGCTGCACCCGCCCTGCCTCTTCCTCGCCTTCTGACACTGGTGGGCAGTAAGGCCCGCAGTGGCGTCTACGTGAAGACGGCGCGCTCAGTGACACTGGCGTGGGGATCCCGAGGCAGTGCGACATCCCTCCTGGGATTCATGTGCATCAGGAAACTACACCCAGAAGGGAGTTATTAAGGGATGGATTCTTACAGTGTTTGCACTGTGTTTTTATGCTTATCGTTAAACTAGAAGGAGTAACTACAAATCAAGAAGGTTTCACTTGTCCAGGAACCCCTGTTCAGAGAGACCCCAACAACACATGAATAAGCCCATATGTATTTGTGGCTCAGAGAGAACTGAAGCAGCTGCTACCTAAATTTGTGCATAATTATTTTCCCCATACCTTTGGCACTGAGTATTAATTCACACAGATATTGGAGGGAAACTTCTATCGCGTGAACAAACTTCTTGGTATTTTCTGGAAAAGTTCTAGCCTGGCATTTAAGTTCAGTTTTGAAGATGAGGAAGGGAAAAAACAAAGCAAAACAAAGAAGAGGCTCACATTTTAAAGCAGGGCCCTGGGGGTGACAGCGCCGAGATTCCTGCTTGTAAGCAAGGACAGGAGGGATCCTGTCGAATGAAGTATAGCAAGATGAGACACAGGACCTGGGCAGGCGAGAAAGGCAGCCGGAGGGCGCGGCCACAGGAGGGAAGGCCAGGAGGAGACAGCAGCGGGGGGAGTGGGGAAAAGACACGGTAGCGCCCGAGAGCCGTGGTCAGCAATGCATCCGGAGGCCAGACAGCCCTTCTCTACAAGTGGGTCACGTTCAGATTTTTTTCAAACTGTTAACTCAAACAAGATTTTAGTCTTCTGCTCTGCCCACAGTAAAGGCTGTTTTCCTGCCTCCTCGGAAAACAGGGAGGAGAAAAAATAGGGAGTGAATTAACAAGGAAATTAAAATTCTGAAATTCTTTGCTGGGAAAAATATTAAACGGTCTCTTTCAAATTTAAATCATCCCTTTCTAGATCAGTTTGATTTTAGCCCAGCTTTCTTCAGAAAAACACAATGAAGGACTGCTCTCCAGGAAACACGGCCCGCCGGCCTCGGGGAGGGGTCTGCCATCACGCACGAGACGGTATCCGCAGCACTTGCTGCCGAAACGCACTTGTCGTGGCCTCCTCACCCAGGAGCGTCCTCCGAGTCATCACAGGGTCAGGCAGAGAGGAGCCTGTTTGACCTCCGTCCGGCCATCAACTCATCCTTTTCTTAAAAGACCCCATGAAGCTGGACATTGGCTTTCAGGCAAACCCACCAACCCGACCACACAGATCTCCGAGCTGGCGAAAGATCTCAAGGGAGGGGCCAAGGGCCTCCCCACGGGGCTCCCAGGCCCTGTCCTACCTGATGCAGGAGGGAGCTGTTTGCCAGTCCTGGCGGCCCCGGGCTGGGGCCCGCGTGCTTCACGTGGACGTTGTTCACGGCCGGCAGTTTGGCCACCTTGGTGGGCCTGCCGCTGCTGCTGTTGATGCCGCTCGAGCCGGGCGAGCACTTTCTTTTCTTGCCTAGGAGCTTGTCCAGAGGAGTGTGCGGGTGGGAGCAGGCGCCGTGAGAGCTGATGGGCAGCTCGCCGGCCTGGTGCACAAAGGGGCCGAGGGAGAGTGTGGAGTCACCGCTGTTCACCATCACGCTCATCCTCTTGATGGACTCGCCGGGGCTCCCGCCGGGGGCGCCCCGCCCGGGCTGCTCGTGCCGGCCACTCACCGAGTTCGCTTTGCCGGCCACACAGTTGAGGCCGACGCCGTGGGGAGAGGCTACCGCCGTGGGGTGGGGAGGCCCAGGGTGAGCCACACAGTTTTTCCTAAAAGACTCCACGGAATGAGAAGAGGGGGAGGGGGAGGGGACTAGCAGCGGGGAAGTGTTTTTGCGTTTCTTTCCTGAGCCGCCGCTGCCGGCACTGCTACTCGCGTGGTGACAGTTAGTGCTGTTACCAGAAGGCTCCTTGGGCCTTAAAGACTTGCTAGATTTCAACTTCTGAGGTTTCCTGGCCATGGGGGAGGAGGGCACGCAGGACAGGCTGGAGGGCGTGCAGGGGGAGGTTGAGGAGGAGGACACCTGTCTGGACTGCATGCTGCACGCGGGATCCACGGCCCCGGAGGCGGCGGGCTGTGCGTTCAGTGTGGTTCCATGAGCTGGTACCGACTTGCTACTGGGGGAGATGGAGGACGACGAGAGCGGGGCAGGGGAGGGAGATATGGTGGCTGCCGCCAGGCAGCTGACCCCACAGTGTGATGTCGGCACAGAGTTTGTCAGGTGAGGAACACGTGTGGAGACGGGCGATGCGGTACTGGGCACTGGCGGGATCTTCCTGCGAAACAGAAGAGGGCCTGAGCAACGTCCACCACTGCCCTTCGTGGAAACTTTCAGAAGGACACCCCCTTCACCTCTGGCACTGAACACACCCCTTGGTCACATGGATCACGCTGAGATGCTGGGCCACACAGAGGGTCACTTTTCCCCTTCAAATTCTTAATGGCTTCCTGCGCTCTGAGAACAAAGGCCTGTAAGGCCGTGCGCCTTACCGGTGCTGCAGCCGCAGGTACGTACCCTGCACCCTCCCGTCCGGCACCCCGAACTCTGTGATCCTGGCTACTGATCTTCCTTCAGTTCCGAGAACGGGCCGTGAAGCGAGACCCTGGGTATCTTCCGCCTACAGCACTCTCACCCCAACTTCTGCTCTCACTTCCGTTTCAGCCCCCATCATCACTTTCTTAGGAAAACTGCCCTAACCGTCCTGACTCGCTTCGTTCCCGCACTGCCCCCTGTTCCCAGACTCTGGAAGACTCTGGTAGTTTTAACGTGTGACCGATGATCACTGTCTAGCATCTCCGCAGACGGAGCAATCCACAGCTGATTTACCACTGTCCATCCAGCACGGTGCCTGGCACACAGAAGGCGCTCAAACGCTGAGACAACTCATGAGAGAACGAGGAAAAAGGAAGGGCACAGCTAGTTAATAACAACTGCTAGGTCCCAGCTACTGGCCTGAGTGCCTGTACGTGCCCGTACAAGGGAACAAAGCCCCCAAAATCTCAGGGGGACTTCTGGTCACGGTGCACTAACAGTGTATTCTGTCTATAATATTTGGGTAAAGTATGTAATCAAACAGTCAAACCAGGGAGGACACCCACCCCCACCCCCACCCCGCCGCCCTCACCCCGGCTTTTATTTTAGCTCCGATTTTTAAAATGTGACGGCGCCAAAATCTCAGAAACCCCTGTGGCATAATGAACACCGAGATGGCAAAACAGCAAACGGCCTGACCGGAAGCCAAGTGCCAAGACTGCCCGGCTCCCGGTTTCCACGGGCAGCTCTGGCTGATCTGGGCGCCATACCAGCGGGGGCCGGGTTCCTCATCCTTCAAGTGAGAGCGCTGGCCTAGACTGCTGCCCAAGGGCTTTCCACATGCGTTTTGAGAAGGACTACAGTTATTAATAAATGGAATTAACAACTCCAAGTGTGCGCACCAGCCTTAAAACTCCCTCTCAAAAGTGTGACTCTGGCCCTAAATCAGTGCTTCCCAACTGTGGCTGCACATCAGAATCACCTGTGGAGTTCAGGCCACACCCAGACGGGCCACACCAGAATCTCGGGGTGGGGTCCAGGCGTTAGTAAGTTCCAAATCTCTCCAGGAGACTCCAGCCAAGGTTGAGAAGCCAGCCTCTACCCCCATGCTACTCCCGAAGGATAAGCACTGACATTACCTGAGAGGCTTACTAGAGATGCTGAGTCCCTGGGCCTCACCCCAGACCTCCTTCATCGTGGTGTGTATCTCAACAAGATCCCCAGGGCAACTGGCACCTGTGAGAAGCTCTGCTCGAAACGCAGCACAGGGGCTCCGGCTCCCTGGGCGCAGTGGCTTCTCATGGCCACCAGGTGGCTTAGGAAGACGGGCCTAAGGGCCAGGCTGCTACAACAAAATCCTGTGAAAAGGAAAGGCTTCCACAGGGGCAGGGATGTGGACCTCTCTGGATGACATGACCGGTTTCTCTTAAAAAAGCTCTTTTAAGTCATTTCTTACCTTCTGCATAAAGAAGAGACAAAAAAAGAAGAGGCAGTCATATTGACCTGTGTTTGCACACACAAACTCAGAGACACAAACAACTGATAAAACTGCTTCTGTCTGTGAGGAGTGGGTAGAAAACAGAGGAGTATGGGTGCCAGGGGGACTAAAACTTTTCACTGTATGCCTCTTTATGTACATGTTTCCTTTTTTAGCCAAGTGACTTTATTACCAATCTAAAAAATTAATTAGAAAAAGGAAAACCCAAACCACAAAACCTTTGACAGCCATCCCAGCCCCTCCTTAGGGGAAGTGCAATAGTGGTCCCCAGTCACAGCATGCAAGCAGCGGACAGAACTCACAGGAGCTTGCAAACAGCCTTTCGGGTCGTGGCATTGCTCCAGAGGAAGAGCTGGTCTACTTTCACTGCTGCCCAGAGACTCCACACACTGAAGATAACTTACTTCACTGCCAGGCTCAAATCGCACCTCCACTTATCCCAAAGTTAACCACAGTAACTCAAGGGTAAGGGGCTGAGGAGAGTGGTGCCGGGGCTCTTTGCAAAAGGGAGGACTTCCGGCTGAGCCAGTAGGATGGGACCTGGCCGACTTCAAGACTTTCCTTGAGTGCCTCAAAGATGCCACCTGAAGAACAGCTCTCTTCTGGTTGAGAAGTGCCGAGCCACTCCCGGCAAATCTCAGGGGTGGCCTGCGCCAGCTCCCCTCACTCCCGTCGGCAGCATTTACTCCCTCAAGCACGTGGCCTGGCACCTCTCTTCAAGCTCCTACCTGCCCCAGGCCTGTGTGCCAGCTCATCACTGAGTGGCCCGTCTGTCTCTACCGAATTGACTTTTTCAAAACCAAAGGTCATGTTAACAGAAAGAACTGTTTCCTCCTCAGTGGGAGCAAGTGACGGATAAGGCAGTGAGCCTCTGACAGAACAGAGGGAGACAGACAGTGGAGTCAACTTCAGGATCCTGCTTCTTCAGAGGTTCAGAGCACAAGGAAGAAAACCTCTCCCACACAAGCCACTAGGAACCAAAACTCTCTCAACCCAAACCACTGGCCATAAACCACTTACCAATATAATGGGGATAAAAATTCTGAAGACCCTTCTAAACCCTTAGGAGTACATTAAACCCATAGTTCTGTGAGCTCAATGAGCTCTCCAGGTCCCACCAGTAAGAAGCTGAGATTTCATGCATTTTAAAGTTTTCTGATGTGAGGCCACCCCCCAAAGAATCCCAACAAACCACTGCCCAAGTCTGTCTCTGGTTCAGAACACTGTTCTTCATAAAGGTTCTTACCCAGTAAGAACCAGGAAGAAACATGAAATAAAGCAGAGTAACACTGCTGTGGGGCTGGTCTTCACCGCGAACAAGTACAAGTCCTATTAACGACCATGGGGATGGTTCTCTGGATTCTGGACTACCCGAGGTCTCTGACAGCTCCCTCTGACTATATCAGGCAAGCAAAGCAGAGAGGCAAAAATAGATGTACTCGCAGAGTCCACTCAGGGAGGCACTAGTAAATGACGCCCAAATGGAGGGTTTGGGATGACTAAGTATTATCGGACAGCCCCCTTTAGCAAAGCTCAGCGCTTCCCGAAGTAGGTTCCAGCAAACGCTAGTCCCCAGGATGCTCCCCTAAAAGAGGTTCCCAGGTCAAAAGAGCCTGGGAGACAGTCCGCATTATACACGATATCCTCTGCTTTGAGAGTTACGATGGACCGTGCCCATTAAAGGCTTTGAGAAGTCCTGCAGTAACAAAAACTATTTTACTTCAGGAAAGGTTGAGCTAATAAATCTTTCGGGCCACGGAACTGTTCTTCCACTTAAAATCACGTTGGGGAAACGGTGTGCATAAGGCCACACGAGATGATCGTCTTACTTTCAACTGTAAACCAGAGCAAATGGCTCCTTTCCCTAAAGCCCTCAGCAGCTCCTCAGTGCCCTCAATCAATTTCAGTGTCACCTGACCTCTTGGATCCCCTCTTGTTCCAGGAGCGTTCTTGCTCTTTCTCAAACAAGCCATGTTCTTTTCTGACTCAAGACCTTTGCACATACGGTTCTCCTTGCCTGGAACCCACTCCTCCCCGCCAGCCCCACGGCTGCTCTCTCTCATCCATTCATCTCAGTTCAAGGGCCCCTTAAGACAGGCTCTCCATGAATCCCTCCATCCTGTTATTTTCCCATCTCAGCTCTTAGGTGGGTCCAAACCCTGGCTCTACCTCTAACGTTCTGTGTGACCTTGCTTCTCAGTTTCATTACCTGTAAAACAGGAGTAATCCAGGCCACCTGACACAGCAAGGTATGAAAACTGTATTTGCTAAGGTGCCTGGCCTACAGTAGTCTTAGTCTCAGTAAGTGCTACAGGTTATTAGCGTTTCTGTTATCTCCCTTACAACAAGCTATGATCTCTATGTTCTGTTGACTGGCTTCGCATTTCTCCCCGAACTAGAATGTGAGCTCCAGCCATCTGGGCGTCCCTCGGCCTGAAACCCCAGCACCGAGAACAAGACACATTTGCTCCAAGAGTGAGTGGATGAATGAGTGAGTGGATGACCAGCCCTTCCTCCAGGGCTGGTCAAAGGCCATGTGTTCATCTCACAGACCACTACCTTCATTAAATCAGCCCCGTAAGAAACAAAGAGGATGCAGCCCTAATGAGCCACCCGCCCACAGAGGTGGTGGGACGGGCACTCACTTCCACAGCTGCGCGTTCAGATGCTTCTCCACCATGAGGTTGAGGGCGCAGCGAAGCCGGTTCCACCTGGAGTCAAACACGTAATAGCCTCTTCCAATCTGCCGGCTCCCGAATGTGCAAAACTGCAAGAGAGAGAGCACACGCTCGGACTCGCTAACTCCGAGGACGTACGGCCCGGGAAGAAGCGGCCAGGACAGACGGCGCTTACTGAGGACCGAGGGCTGTGAAGCACGAGTGTGACAACGCCTGGCCCTGAGTGTCATGGAAGAGAACGGAAAGAGCAGGAGACGTACCCGACCGAGTGCATGCCGCCTGGGGGCGCCCTGCTCTGAGCTGCACTCGCACCCTGACCTCGCCCCACATGGACCGGAGGGCATGCCCGGGTCCCCGCCGCGCCCCCCCTGCAGTGCCCCACCCCTGCGGCATGGGGAGGGTTGGCACGGGGGCGGATGTGGAACTTACAGATGCTGGCTGAGGATGATGACCTGAATAATGACAGTCCAGTTTTTCAACAGACTCTTCTTTGTCATCGCCTTCTCCCTCCTCACTGGATAACCGAGAAGCTGGCTCAGTGGCAGGCAGGGGAGGGTGTGGAGATTCATGGACTGGAGGAGGGTCAATGGGGGCACTCCCACCTTGCTGAGCAGGGCAGCCTGGAGGCCTTGGTGAGTAGAAAGTGCAGCACTGATCAGATCAGATCACATGTCTCAGACACAACAATGTATCCAAAACCATCAGGGGAGGTCTGGGCTCCACCACTAGCACTAGAGACACAGATGCTGATCCGGGGGGCCTGGGCGTAAAGGGTCCTCTCTCCCGAACTGCGCGATGTCAAATGCAGCTGTCTGCCCAGTCTAACCAAAGTAACTTATAACCACTTCTCTATTCCACAGCCACCTGGTGCGCCTCCTATTCTCCCCAAAGAAGGCGAAATACATGTGGAGTTTAAGAGAATTCTTTCTTTGATTCCTCTTCAAATTTCACCTGGAACTGGGTTACTAAGGCAATCAATGAGGTAATTGGTAATGTGCTCGAAAATAACCTAAGAGGGACAGGAGGTGATAAAAGAAGGTAGCTTTACCATTTTATGTGGGTAATCTAGAGTGTGTAACTCAAGGACAGCAGTGTGCTTTTCCAACACACATAAAGGCCTGCTGTTTCTAGACTTAAGCCTATTTTTTAATAGATGGAAAAACTTTAATGAAATTGGCCAAAGAAACGACTTGCAAAGGAATCGACAGCCTGGGCCTGGCCACATTCTCGGGCACCTCCTCTGATCACTCCTCCAACCGTGTTGCTCGGAAACCAGGGGGCCCATGTGGGGACAGGCTCACGGGCACTCTCAGGTTTCCAAGACGGAGGCACTTCCACCCCTCATGTGACCATTTCAAGAATCAGACACGTGAGGATAAAAGGTTAATTAAGCAAGAGCACCCAAGGGTTGGCACATTCCTAAGCAGAAGCCCTCGGCCCAGACTCAAAACCCTCGTTCTCTACGCCTTTCCTTTTCCTTTCTTTCTGGAAAGTGGGTACAAAATCCTTTACTTCAACTTGGTTAAATGTACAAGCACGCACACACATATATTCAGCCCACCATCACTGTCTCCAAGGGATGTGTCTAAGTTCTGACCTGCTGCTCACTACACAGCTCAAATAACTCCTACACGCTCAGGCAAGAGCCCCAAATGAATGAATGAAAAAACATGCTGTAAATGGATGCTGTAAAGACTCAGGCTGAATGCCTATCCCCAGCAAGAATCCCAACTGCTGTGTTTTGCAAGAAGCGAGACAAATGAATGGGAAATGGCTGCCAAAGCCATGTAAAATGTTCCCGTCACTAACTTGCGGGCAGGACCCGGGCCGCAGCCCTACTCAACAGGGTCAGGAGACACCGAACGCTGAGCAGGGGCAGAACAGATTAATTCTAGCTTTACTCTGCTGCTTGCATTTGGCCACAAACAGCCCTGGTTGAAACTCAGTGATGAACATTTTTTTTTTTCTTAAAGTAAAACCCCATTAGAAAAACATCTCTTCTCGCAGCAAGCCTGATGTCTGTCCTCGACATCACGATACACCGGGGCTCTACAGTCTGCACGTCTGTTCTCTGAAAGAGGGAGAGAGAGCTGTTGGACGGGGCTTACCTTGGAAGACTGGGGGTGTGAGGTTTAGGTTTACTAGCTACAAAAGGCTTTGATTCGGAAGGAATCACTCCGTGAGAGTTTTGGTGTGGCTCCTGTGAAGTTCTAGGAGGAGTGGGATGCGGGTCCCTGAGAGGCTGCGTTGGTTGCTGAGAGTCCGGATGGCGAATCGATTCCTTTTCCCTGGTTTTGTTTTTGTGCTCGGCTAACAACACATCGAATCGTTTTCTTCTACCCTGGACAGCCCTCCGCTGGGTTAAGGAATGTGTCTACAGACCAAAAACAACAACAACAAAAACAAACAACCAGAAATGGAGGAATCTCAGTAATCATTTTTTCTGCCATACATCAAAAAATACCCATGCCAATAAAAAAGCAATGTGGAGCATTAGCTTAATCAAAGGCTGCTCAGCATCTGATAGGCTAAAAATCTTGAGTATGATTTTTTTCCCCTAATAGTTAGAAGCAGATGTTCCAGCCTCCAAATGTATAAGAACCTGGTGATGTTATTTCCACCAGAAGAAAGAAGAAATGTTAAATAACCATGCCACCAGGTATGTAACTGAGGGGCAAACAGCAGATACAAACAGGTAACAGGTCCTCGTGTTTTGTGCGACAGGAACAATTCATTGATCGGAGCTGTTACCAACTCCGCTAGAAAAGTGCCCTTTGGGCCATTTAGAGTTTTGAATGTTAACAGGGAAGAAGCACTTATTCCATAAAGTACGTATCACAAAGTCTTCTTTCACTAACTGCCAGAGAGTAAAAATTAAACACAACTGTTTCTTTATTCCTGTGACAATGTCATACAGAGAGAACGGGGCTCACAGCATCCTGGAGACAGGCCGAGGGAGACCTGGGGGATTAAAGAGTAAGAGGCCAAAAGAAGACAGGCTGTGCACAGGAAAAGACGCAAACCAGCATCTGAGTCCCTATCGAAAGACACTCCCTATGGAAATCAAGAAAATGGGATAGGATTTTTGGATCCAGAGACAATGTCTAACCTCAGAATTTAAAAATGGTCACATTCTTTTTACTGGAGTATAACTGCTTTACAATGTTGTGTTAGTTTCTGCTGTACAATGAACTGAATCAGCTATATGTATACCTAGATCCCCTCCCTCTTGGACCTCCCCAAAACGGTCATTGTTGAAAAATGTGAAATTACTCGAGAATAAGAAAGGTCAGGTAAACCTGACCACTCCATACTGCTTAGGGCCTCCGTCTGTAAAGACAAAAATGCAAGGAGCCGCTAACCACAGCGGCGCCAAATCACACCTCCCAAGTATGAGTTCATCTACATAAATCCTTCCCTCTTCTATGTTACAACAATACTACAAATGATACTTTCTGTGTGTTCATTATTATACAAATGTATTGCTCTACAGGCTTACATTTTTGTTACAATTTAAGGGATTTTAAGGGGAGTTAGGCTTCTAATTCTCTTTTGCGGTTCAATAACATAACCTACATCCGTACCACATACACTGCAAGCTATGTTTGCCCAAAATCTAACCTGGCACAGATAGTTAGAAAAATGTGTTGAGGTTCTTTTTAAGATTTTACTTGGTTTTCTTTAATATATAATATATCCACAAGAAAGTGACCCTAAATGAAGACAAGGACCTTTGTTTGGTTCAGTGCTGTACCAACACCTAGTACAGCACCTGGCACGCCATAAACGCTTCACACAAAAACCAGATAAAAATAATGGCCCCCTCAATACATGCTGAATGAACAAACGAATATACAACATCACTGGGGGTCCACCTGCCTGTCTCTCCAGACAGATGATATTAGAAGCCTCTCCTCACCTTTGCGTGTCCCCTGGTGCTTAGCGCGGGAAGACCAAGTGAAGAAAGTAGGCAGAGACGATCAGTATTTTCCCAGCTTGGTTTGAAGAGTACATAGCATTTGCCCTGAGCTCTGAAGAACCTTCCAGCCGCAACCCTGATGCCCCCTCCTCCCCATCAGAACTCTGTGGGGGGCTGCCCAAGGCGCACAGGATAAACAGCAGCTGTACGAAGCCCGGGGCCCTGCTCGCTCTAACACCCCCGGCCCCCTGCTCCTCTGGCACCAGGTGCCGCCTCCCCCTCCTGGCTGCCTTTCACATCCTAAGCTGTTTGTCCTGCCCCGTCCCAGAGCCTTCACAAGGGCTGTCTCCTCTGCCTCTCCCATCCCTTTCTGCCCAAACAAATCATATGGATTTTCAGCCCAGTATTCCTACAGCAAAGGAGCCTTCCCTGACTCAGTTCCCCTAGTGAAGGCTGTCATTACACAGGCCTCTCTTTTTTTTATTACCCCACAGTGATAACTTTTACAGTTACTTGAGTCATTACCAAGTTAATCTTCATCTCTTCCATTAGACTGTAAGCCCCCAAAGGGCAGGAGCCACGCCTTGATTTTGTTCAAGCCTGTATCCTCTGAGGCCCAGAAGGAGGTCTGTGCCCGCAGATGTGTGCAGTAAATGCTTCTACCCTGAGAGGAACCCAAATCTACTTGCATGGAAGGCACAGAGGACAGAACAGAACACTGGACGGATGAGGAAGTGAGGAGGGGACAGTGAGGGTGGCAGGCAGATGACAGAGGGACAGGAGTGGGCAGCAGCAGATGCCCTGACAGCTAAGAGAACGGACAACGTCCTCAGTCTGAGACAGAAGAGATCTGGGCAGCAGCGTGGGGGACAATCAGCTGGGCTTTGGCACGCAAGACCCGCCGCTTGCATGTCAAGCATTCCAGTGTGTTTATCAGCCCACCGCTGAATGGATTCAGCCGCAACGGAGGCAAGGAGAGGGAGAAGCACTGACGAACAGAACACGGGAAGAAAGTAAGGGTGTTCTGTGCAAGTGCAGGCCAGCCACAATGCTGCGTGTTCTGCCAGCTCTATGCCGAACTCATGGCATGCCTGGATGAAGATGCACACTAACGCAAAGACAGGCTTAGCACACGGCTACAGATGGTAATGACACCCTTAACAGGACACATGGAGAGCATACACGACTTGAAAAGGAAGATGGGAGAAAAATGAAGGATCGACACAAAGCCAATGAAGGTTCAGGAAGAAGGCTGGTCAAATTCCTTGCAGATTCGGAGTTGATAAAGCTTTTGGTTCACCAGCATGCCTCACAGACGATTAAAAAAGAGCACCCTGGGCTTCCCTGGTGGCGCAGGGGTTGGGAGTCCGCCGGCCGATGCAGGGGACACGGGTAAAAAAAAAAAAGAGCATCCTGGGTAAAGCAAGCATCCTTCATTGACCACAGGTATCACAATACTGAGAAATCTATGTTTCTGAGAGCCAGGTAGGCAGGAAGAGAGCAGAGAGGGGTTGGCAGTGTGACATGGCGTGGAGCAGGGCTGAGGCACACACTCACAAGTTCCCTCAGGGGCAGCTGAACAGGACATGATTCTACAGAGCTCAACTGGCTACCGTCAAGCAACACACCACTCGATGTGTTCAGTTAATATTATATAAAACAAAGCAATCTGTCCTGAGTTTTTAACCTAGAGATTCAATGGTGCAACTGGAGTGGGGATGACCATCTACCTCTGAAATAAAATGCAAAATTCAGAATACGTATGTGTATATATGTCTTCCTCTGGGAAGAGAATCCATAATTCTTTAAAAATTAGGTATTTAAAGGTGCTTTTGACCAACCTAGATCCTCACAAGACTCAGTACCATTGTTGCAAGACAAAATCCACACGCTAAAATTGAATTAGAAACTGAAATTAAAATAAGAACTACCGAGAAATAACATTTCCCATTTCTGAAGATTTTAACATTCCTCTACTGTTCAGGGCTGGAGTGGAGTCTGAATTTCTTTATTCAAACATAATCTTTGGTGAAACTTAAAATAATACATCAAAAATTTTATTAATTTTTAGAGAACAACACTAATTTTTATAATTTTTAACCTCCTCCTCCAAACAAGTGTTTTAAAATTACTTCAAGGCAATGATTCTTAATACTTTTTGAACCCTTCTGCACGGTGGCTGGGGACATAAGCCTATATGCTCATTTATGAAGGGGGTCTACTGAAGCCAGAGGTCACCCCCATGTCAACCCTTATTTTATAGCAAATATACCGCCTTCTCACTAGCATACTGGCATTTCAAAGGAAAACTCAGGATAGAAAGGGGGAATCTTTACATTTTCTTGGGTTTTACATATACATTAGATTATGTGGTACCTAGTATTTTTTTTAGAACTAAAAAAATAAAGTTATCTCAAAGTCACAGATATTTTTAAAGTAGCTGTAAAACTGAAGAACCAGAGATAACACAAACATTTTAAGACTATTCACATATATGCAAAGGAAATGTCTGGACTCATTCCAAGTCAGTACAATTTAAACCACAGTAAAGGGGAGCCTCTCAAATTAAATTTCTATGAGGAAATATTAAAAGGCTTTGAAAATAACAGATTGATTAGGAAAAAAACACCATTCCCCCACATACAGTAAGGCTCACTGGAGGCAAAACCCCTCTTAAGATAGCAGTTTATAACAACAGGCTCCACGTTTTCTGAACTTGAGGCGTTCTTCATCAAAACGGAGTCATTCCCTCACTTAAAAATTCAGAACAATCCTCAGAGCAGATGCCCTGTGAGTGAGAGACCCTTGGGGCGCAGTGCTGTGCAGCCCAGGTCCCCAAGCTTCCTGGAGCATCGGGCTCTGCCCAGGAGCCCCCTACCTTGCATGTCAAAGATCGGGTGCAGGGCTTCTTGGTGTCGAGATCGATGACCCCACAGTGGACGTCAGGATCAAACTCCCTTTCTGTCAAAAGCACACAGACATTACAATGTCAAACGCTGCTTCATTTATTTTGAAAATAAGAATATAGGAGAAGTCTGAGATTCTCCTCTCAGACCAATTATAACTTGAAGCAAACCTACCACATCATCAATAAACATAAAATACACAACGTACGAGCGCCACAAAAAGCCACGACATCTCTAAGAGAGTGGGGACTTTCGCCACCAGATGACAGGAAAGAGACTGTTTAAGCCAGCATTACTCATTACTCCATTTAGGAATACACCACTAGGAAACTACTTTTACGTCACCTACCCACGCACGTGCACTTTAAAACCAAGAATGAAGAGCTCAAGGACACTACTTAAGGAACTTCATCCTTAAGCTGAAGTTGGCCAGTTTTAAAAAGAGGACTTACAGGTAATGGTTGATTTGCTCTCCCAGGAATTGCCCAATTAACACAGAAAGAAATACTGAGAGAAAATAGGAAGTTACCTGATAATCTCTTATTTAAAAATTTCCTGTTATTGGAGTTATCTTCTGACTTCTTTTCCAGCGTAGGCGGTGCAGGAAGCCCTTTGCCATTCAGAATCTGTCCAGGCGAAGGCAAGGTTGGCTTTGGTATTGAGGGGCAGTTAAGGCCAGGCTTGACTAAGGAACTCACAGCAGCAGGACAGGCTGGCCCTACCGCAGATTTCAGTAGTGTGCCATCCATCTTCGGAGGAATCTTTTCCACTTTGACAGAGGGCGTCATGCTGTCGTAGGGGGAAGTGAGAACACCAGCACCTGAGTGCCCCGGCAGCCCAGGGTGACTGGTGAGCCAGAGGGACGAGGGCAGAGCCTGGGTCTACCTGTGCACCGCGCAGAGCTAGGCTCCCAAAGGTACATTACGAAAATTTGTTAGGGCTACACAGAAAACTCAGTAAGACTTTTACTCAGTCTGTAAGCCCTTCTGGAGAGGCAGAAAGCTCCAGAGGAACCATCAAATTTACCTGGTCTATCGTCATTCCAGAACAATCCTACACATGAGCCCATTACCCAATGTAATTCCTGCAAGAAGCAAAATATGAAAAGGTCTAAAAGGACCAAAGGCTACTGCAGGACCTTTAGAGGATATCTTTTGAGAACTGTCATTTTTAAGAAATGATCCATCAAAATAAAGCAAAATGAGTGAGCAGACAAAAGAACAACTGAAATTAGAGAACATTTCCAAGAAATGTCACTAAGGACTTGGAAGAACTCAAATGTGCCTAACAATGTATCTCTAAGAAGAGGCTCTCTGCCTCTGTCAATGAGGAAGACCAATGTTTAATTAGGATACGATGTGTCAGTGAAGTGGTAATTCTCCAGTCCCTGAAAAAGGTTTCTCTATAGGAGCCTGGAATCTTAGTGCCTGGCACTCAGCTGGTGAGCACTGAATACCTGTATCACTAACCAAGAACTGACTTTTTTCTGGAATCTTACTGATACTGTCATTTGGGTGGCAAATGTTGGTACGAAGCTAACAGCCTGGTCCCCGTCTAAAGCCCAGCTACAAATAAAGAAGATCTGGATTGATGAGGTTTTATAAACTTTGCCCAGTGGAGTCGGTGCTCTAACAGCTGGTAAGCGGGCGAATGACTTACACACTGTACTGGCATTTTTTTTGGCTCTCTGACAACTCCAGGAATGAAAGCCAAGCTTCCTGTACTTGCACTTCTGACAGATGAGCAGAGGCTGTGGGGCTTAACAACCAGGACAAACAGCACCACAGAGCTGTACCTGGAACAGTCCGAGAGCAGCAGAGACACTGCAAGATGCCACGGCCTCTCCCAGCTGGCAAGGTCCGTGCGCAAGAGCAGGTGCTGGCCGCTGCCCGAAGATTAACCAGGTTATCAGACCTTGGGACTGCGATGTGTGGCATACCCTCCGAAAGGGAGGCAGGCCAGGGAAAAGCCACCTGCCACCAAGGCTGAAGCATGCCGTGATGGGGCAAGACATATTTCCACGGGAGTGCACGGCTGCCCCCTCATGTCACCCACAAAGAGCCTGCCAGCCTACAGGCCCACCAGGGAAGCTCATCAAGGCCTTGCCTGGCGGTGTGAACTTCTTCCAGTCTCCCCTCATCAGGGCTTGGATGTGAACCCCAGACCGGGGGTGGGAGGAAGCACTGCTTCCCTATTTGCTGTGCAGGCCCCAGAAAATCCTAGAACAGCTTCTGGGGATCTCTTCACCTTTTTATTCCTACTGTCATCCTCAGCGGCGGCACCAGCATCCGTTCCTTTAAGGTCTCCTGTGGGCCGGACACTAGCCAGGTGCTTGAGTCTAATACATGAATCCTACCACCCCCACTAACCCTGCACAGGGGCCGTTATCTCAGACTCTGAGATAAACAGGGCCTTGGCCGAGGCCCCTCAGCTAGGAAATGATAGAGGCGGGATTTGAACCCCAGGCCCGTTTGACCTGGGGGGCCCGTGGCTAAAGTTCTTCAATCTCATCACGCTTCCCTCTCCTTACCCAGAAAATGGAGATAACAGCAATACCTATTTCAAAGGGTTGTTGTGATAAGTAAGTGACAATACACTTAGCTAAATTTCAATAGCTGGCACACAAGAAAGGATCAATAGATAAGTATTATTATTGCTATTATGACTCTATAAAGTCTCCCAAGGTATCATAGGGAAACAAAAAGAAACAACAACATATATTTGAATTTTCCCCAAAGTGGGCTCTCTTTCACATTATCCACGTACACTCTCAGATGCTACTTGTGTACACAGTTCCACTTCTGGCAGGCGAGCTTTAAGAACCCTCTGGGCCATACTCACATTCTACCATGGGGGACTCTATTTTGCTGAATGGGATGCATTGGCCTGTTCCCCCTGAGCTGCAGTTTCTCTTTGGGCGATTTCAACAACTTGGAACTTAACGAGGATGCACTTAGAACACCTCCACTGGAAGAACGGCTGCTTCCACTTCCACTGCCTCCTTTGCTTTTGGACAGAGAAGGGAAGAAGGAAAATACTGAAGTGGGAGGAACGGCCAAAGAAGGCTTGCTGGATGAGCTATGTCTTCTTTCTGAAAAGGAACACAAAAGGGGCGGGGCGGGGGGGGGGGG